TTTCCCATTCATATAAGAACCAACCTTATCAGTACCAGTAGATGTGTCAAAGGCTGGATCATATAATGATCGTTTCTCTACTGATCAACGCTTCTAGCGGCATAATGTTGGACTTTTTGTGTGAAAAATTCTGACGGCACTGAAGGTAGTGCCTATGGCTGTTGGTGAGGGTTAACAATTTTTGGACAGTAGTTATGATATGCTTTGAAAGAGATAGTCTTGCATGATTCTATACTAACGGACAGAGGTAAATAGTAACTCAAACCAAATTTAAAGAAAAAAATATTTTTTGATATTAATCTTAGCTTTCGAGAGGGATTGAAAGACTGGCGTACTGTAGTTCTTCAAGTTAAGCTCATTGACTTTTTTTCATGATCTGTGCAATGATGCTACTTTTACCGCGAGAAGAACCATTTTTGTGGAAATGTATTCTTTTATATGTAAAATAATAATTGTATTCCATTTATTTGTCTTGTTATTGGAGATGTTTATGTAGCCTTATGTTGTATGGATTCAATTCATTCATACTGATACAGTTGTTTAGTTCAATGTCACTCATAAGCAGAAATGATCCACGAAACAGGAAACTGACTGCTGTTGGTTTTTAGGTATGACATACTCTGTGCGATATGTAATATAAAGACAGTACTTAAGGATGGCTCAATGTGCTTTTTTGTTGAAAGGTTAGCGGATTTTCTTCAAATATCTGATAAACAGAACATGGATTTGTCGGACAATATAAACTGGCTAGCTAAGAGATGAGTATGCTCGCTTGTGGTGGCATATATAATATGTTTAAAGTAAGCTAGACGCATCAATGTCTGTCTGTCGCTTTCAGTTCATCTGTATTTATGCTTGAGGTTTCTTGATCTCATGTTCTTTGGTTGACAGTTTTGACATAAGATATGATGCGTAGGGTATGCTTTTTAAAGGACGATCTTTATTCGGACGCATTAGCTCCTGGCCAGGCTTACCAATATTTGGATCACTAGATAGAATGCAAACAGTCTCACATGCGGTTGATGTTGATACTGGTTACTACTACTGCAGCTTGTTTGAGAAGATGAAAGAAGCTCTGGTTTTGTTTATGACGTGCGACGGGTAGGGTTGTGTGGATAGTTGGAACTATTATTGACGATGGAGCTTTTGCCGGTGTTCTATGTTTGATACGATCATGTTCAAGAAAAAAAAAAAATACAAGCGAATGTAATGCAAGAAAGGAAAAAAAAAGAGAGGTAAAAAAGAAAGAAACAAACATGACAAAATTTGCTAAAAATAGAACTAATAGCCTTTGATGCGTTTTGTCTACATATAAAAAGAATGCTCACATGGTTTCTAGGTAACTGAAGACGTCGAATTTTATGATTGTCTATCCTCCTGGAATAGGTTAAGGAAAGTAACCTGGATCAGCTATTATTATGCAATTTGAAAGAGCAAAGATATAATTAGACTCATATCCCTTCTTACTATTTTCCTTGGATAACTTCTTTTTTCAATTTATTCATCTTCTCATGACATTTCAAAGAAAAATCAAATTTACTTTAGTCTGTACTAATCTGGATGTATCCTAAATCTAGAAATGCGATAATTTTGTTTTGTTTTGTTTTATTTCTTGATCTTTGACCAAAATTTCGTCATTGGTAGAGTAAGATGGCTTTCTTTTTCTCTTTTGATTCTTAAATAAAAATGTTAAACAAACGCACGGTCAAATACTTCCTATTATGATGTATTGATTGTAAGTTATGGCCCATTATAAATTCATTTATCTTTTCAAGTTCTCATTTATACAGTGCAATAAGATATCTATTAGAATGAAAGGCGAATAATATGAATTGTCGTTCAAATGACTGACTATTTCTCATTGTCCAATGTTTAGTGCGTATCACAATTAAAAGATCAAATTGAGAGGAATACAAGGTGTATTAGAGAGTATAAAATTTATTTTGCTTGTGTCAAGGGGATTATTATGATTTTAAAGAGTACCAAAAATAGAAAGTGCTTGTAAAAAATAAATAGAAGCTTGAATCTAACTTCAAGTTATTTCTCTTCATTTTTATTTTTTTTTTAAATTGATTTCTTTAAAGAAAAGAGAGGATGAGAAAAATTGTCCTAAAGAAAAAGGAATCTAAAGGTTAGCATCTATTTTACCATAGAACCAACACCAGGAGGGAGCCGAAAGCCCAAAATGGAAGTACGGGGGGATAGAGAAAGGGTATGGAGAGTGGAGAAAAGGAAAGGCTTGGGGTTGGAGTACGGGTTGGTAAAAGAATTAGGAAAGGGATTTGGGAAAAGGGGTCGGAGAAAGCGAATTGAGAATGGGAAAGGGTTAAAAAAAAGCCAAAGGGCGTTTCAAAAAATTGGCGTTTTCCGCTTTAAACAAGCAGAAGGCATGTACAGAAATACAGTTGTTGAATAAATAAGAAAAAAAGGGAATGATGGTCCCTTTTTATACTTTTTTGTTTGTTACAGTGTGGCTATGAAAGTGTTCCTGAGCTGAAATTTCCTATCTGCATGAACTTTTTGAATTCTTATCGTGCTCTCCTATTGGATAATTTTTCGTCATTCTTTTGCTCTTATAGAGAATAACTACATGCTATATCTTGTTAGAAGCATTCCAATAAAGAGCGTTATTAATATTGTAATGTTTAAATCAATGTTGCTAGTTAAACACTATTTTACTGTTCTCAAGCCGCTTTACTTTTACTATTAGTACAAAAATAGAAAAGGAATATCTCAAGGTTACACCTTTTAATACAAGAGAAGCTGCAATACAGCAGAGCAAATATTTAGTCTATACCTTATTCCTCAGATGCTGAGTATTCTTCAATATGACCTATAAACTATATGTAGTGGATATAACTTTTTAGATTAATACTTTATATACAGTCTGTAAACTATTCTGTTTTTTTAAAGATTTTTACATCTCTGGCATTATGAACATTCATAGCACATCGTAATGCTTGGCTACCGTTTTTTTTTTTTTTGCTTATCAATTTATTCTCTGCTATTCCTTTAATCAATAGCCAAAAGCTTTGTCTTTTTTTTTTTTTTAAAAAAAAAGGCTAAGCTTCGTGATTCATCACGTACAGTTTTTTAAACCCTTTTTCATTACTGCTGTTCGGGATATTAAAGCGTATGATAGGGGATCGACGTTAAGGAAGATCATGGTTTACATCCACCCTCTTGTACTCTTTGATCTTTCTTCTTGCTCCTCAAGTGTTTATTTAAGATCGCATCATTAAATATTTCTCTATACGCCGTAAGTCTTTTAGAGTAAAGTAAAACATATGAAGTATAAAAGGGGCTGTGTTCATTGAAACATGTGTAACATTTTGTACATGATAATCTGTGGCGACTATCAAAAGGATATGCCTAAAATTAAAAAAGATAAAGTAAAGCCAATGTGAAAAAGAAACTTTTCAAAAACTTGATGAAGACTACCTCGTATCTATAGAGAAGTGAGAAACAATTAAATTTGACAGGTGCTCTTGTTGCATACAATATTTCCGGATCTGTTCCGGATCAATTACTAAAAAAGACAACGGAAAGCTTTAAATCTACTATAGTAAAAAAAGAAGATGGGTGGCGTCATCGTATGGAAAGAAGGATAAGGTGAAGTTTGGGAAAATTGCTTTATTCAAAGGGCTGCTTTATTTATTTTTTTCTTCTTTTTTATCTATTTTTCAAAATAGTAATAACTTTAGGTGGCGAACACAAAGAATTAATACTTTAATCCAGCTATTCAAAGTCAATAATCAATCTCATTAGAAAGCAAGGAAAGTTTTTCCTTTTTTAGGAGGAGCTGATCATGGCATGATAAAAGGTCAGCAGAGTCTTTCCTGTTTCAATACTGAAGAGGATGACCATTTTATACTCCTGTTTACTGAATGTTTTATTTTTACTAGGATGTTTTTGAAGCTTCTGGTTTGGCTGAAAACGATAGAGAGGAATCTTTGATCGCGAGGATCATAGAAAAGTATACAATGAGGGACCAGAAAGATCAAAAAACTGTTGCTATAATTAAGAGATGGTAAGCATTGAACAATAGGAAGATGAGTATGTAAGCTATGGTGTAACGATGATGACGCGTTTTCAGGAATAACACAAGGCCTTCTTTGGTGAGGGAAATGTTCGAGATGATTCATTAAGCTGTAATTACATCAGTGACTACTATAAAGTCGATACCAGTATTCATACATACAGGACTAAAAGTAACTGAGTAGAGTTAAAGATGAACAACACGATCTCAAAAAATTCCAAGAAGAACATTTAGATTAAGATGAAAAGTTAAAAGGTAAAGTTTTATCTCGATACGCGTACCACCAGTATTAGTAGTGATTTCATTAAATAAGCGTCTCAGGATGAAACAAGTGCAGCTATATGCTTAATTGGCATGCTCTTTTGGGAATGAAGGACGAATTTGATTATCTCAATAAATGCTATGAAATGCCCACTCTCACCTCTTTTCTGAGCACTCGCATGAAGTCTACTATAGCATATCCTTCCCTTCTTTTATCTTTTGTTGATCAATTTCTTTAAATCAAATGGTTCTGTTTGATGCATCTATTGTAACATAAGTTCTAAAAAGTGAAAGTTATAGAATGACTACAACAATCCTTTATCAAATCTCGTACTTTCAGCCTTGGATCAGTCTAAGAGAAATAAGAGCTAATGATAATATTATTTTTAAAAAAGCATGATGAAGATATAAAGATTATTCCCAATTCATCAAGAGGAGGCCAAGAAAGCTGTGTACAGGTGTTATGCATTGTCAACAGGAGAAATGTAAAAACTTAAATATACATTTATTTTATAATAAATAATACAAGCTTTACGTTTATACCAATGCAAGTACTACTTCCCTACAGCAATAGATAAATATATCACGCACTCTAAGCATTGTGTATATTCCTATTCAGTCACGTAAGCGGTTACTTAAATCCGCATAAACAAATTCGTATATGGATTAACCTTTTTTTTTTTTTGCTTTTTTTCCTCATTTTTCTCATTTTCTTCATTTAAAACAAGAGAAAATGTCGGCAACAGGCACAAACGCGTACATCGTGACCAATCTATTGGAAAAGGTTCAATTATGCACTACATTCAGACACTGTTATATTGACATAATCTTCGAAATAGATGAATAACCAAGACAGAGACTTTCGTTATATGGCCCTAAACGACCTAATGAACGAACTTCAAAAAGATTCTTTTATCTTGGAATCCTCCATCGAGAGCAAAGTTGTCAAAGGTGTTCTTCAGCTTCTAAATGATAAAAATAGTGAAGTTCAAAATTTGGCTGTCAAATGGTATTTTAGAGAGCATTACAAGGTGACTTGACTAATTGAATTGCTTCTAGTTTGGGCCCTTTAGTAAAGCAAATCAGAGAAGAACAATTGTTTGAACTGATTGACCGTCTTGACGAATATACAACACAAACTGGCAGTGAGGAATTGCGCGGGATTGCAAGCGTGAGTAAGTATTATTTCCCCCGTTCAAGCTTGTCTTTTTTTAATACTTTGTAATTTGCATAGGTTTGAAAACAGTTATTGCCGAAATCAACCAACATCAAGGAGGTAGAGTCTGTGCTCGTATAATTCCAAAGCTGCTGCGTAATATTCAAAGTGTAACTATCAAGAAAAAAGGGGAAAAAGTTGGTTAAATCTTACAATATCAACTTAGGAAAACACTACTTATGAAATGGAAATGGATACACTCGATATTATAGCAGAGATGTTGACTCGATTTGGCACACAGATATCCTTAGAAAACCAAGCAGAGGTTCAAAATGCTCTTTTGTTTTCACTCAACCATCAGCGTCCTGCTATTAGGAAGAGAGCTACAGTTGCTATAGGTTACCTTGTTATCCATACAAATGATTCTCTGTTTCAACAACTGGTCACTTATCTTTTGGAAGGTTTACAGTCTAATACTCAAGCAGGTGACAAGCAGAGAACATTTGTTCAATGTACAGGAGTTTTAAGGTAAACAATAAGAGAAAGAAAAGAAAATCATGAATTCATTTTTCTTTATAAGCCGTTACAGCGCAGTGCGTCTTGGAAAGCAATTGAATGAATTTGTTCCCATCATCATCGCATGTACAAAAAAATCTGACGACGATGATGAATTACGTGAAATTTGCCTGCAAGCTCTCGAATCCTTTGTTTACAGATGTCCTACTGAAGTATCTCCCTTTGTCAATGAGATAATTCAGCTTGCTTTAGAATACATCAAGTACGATCCCAATTTTGCTGGCGGTGACGATGATGAGGATGAATTTGAGGTAAACATGAATTATATACAAATATGGTTATGCTAATGCGCTTATAGGCTGAAGACGAGAACATGGATGCGGATGAGGATGACGAATTCGACGATATAGCGTATGTATCATGTGTCTGTTTTTTAATAGTCCTTAAGGCTAATTGATAGCTTTATATAGAGATTATTCGGACGATGACGATGATATGTCTTGGAAGGTTCGCAGATCTTCTTCAAAGCTTTTATGTGCTATCATTGAGACGAGGTTGGACATGTTGCAACAGATGTATGAACTTGTTGCACCTGTATTGATCAGCAGATTTAAAGAAAGAGAAGATACTGTTCGAATTGATGTGCTTCAAACATTCATCGCATTACTTCGCCAAACAAATGCTTCCGAAAAGAGCGGAGAAGGACATGAGACAGCTAACAAGGCAGGCTCTCTTAACCTTGATGGCATAAGTCTTTTACCACCCAAGTGTGCAGGTAACGATGCTACTGAGACGGATGAGTAAGTGAAAATATATGTAACTTGTCTACGTTCTAACCGATGAATGGTAGGATAAAGAAAGCACTTAGCTCTCATGTGCCAAGGTTATGTCGTGCACTGGCTAAACAAGCTGAATCCAAGTCTACCGAAACTCGTCAAGTATGCTTCCAGTTACTTCGAGAACTTGTCGTTGTTCTTCATGGTGGCCTTGAAACTCAAATGGAACTTTTCATTCCCATCGTTTCAAGCTCTCTTTCTAGCACTTTAACAGATCAGCACCAAATGGCTTCATCCTCCAATATTAAGATCGAGGCTCTATCTTTCCTGGGTGTATTTTTCCGTAAACATGCACCTGAAGCAATTCATCTTTATTGTAGCAAGCTTTTCTCTTTGATTATGCAATCTTTTGCTGACAAGTACTACAAGATTACGTCAGAAGCCTTTTTGGTTTGTATGGAATTCATTAAAGTTGTTCGACCAATCTATTATATCTCTGAGAGCAAACAGTACGATATTCGCGATATTGATCAAGACCATGTTCCTTTTATCAAGCAAATCTATGCTACTGTTCTGCAAGTATTAGGTACTAGTGATGCTGATCAAGAGGTTAAGGAAAAGTCAATCGTGTGCCTTGGTGTGCTTTTGGTACAAGTGGGCGATATTCTTCAGTCAGAACAGCAAGAGGCTTTCAATGTGCTTTTAGAAAGATTAAGAAACGAAGTAACTCGTTTGATCAGCATAAGAACACTTGCTGTTATTGCACAAAGCCCTATCGTAGCTGGTGATGAGTTCCAGAAATGCGTCGTTACAGCAGTAGATGAAGTTACACTTCTTTTAAGAAAGAACAACCGTAGCTTACGTATTGCCAGTTTGGAATGTCTGTGTGTTTTGATCAGCAGGTAAGCTCTTTGGAACCAGTCATTCAATACCTTTAGATACTAAGCAAAGTCACTTTTATTTAGACATGGAGAATATGTGCAAGAAAAGAGCTTAAGAAACTTATTGAATGAAGTTCGACCCTTAGTATCCGATACTGATCTTCACCTTCTTCCTCTCGCTTTAAGGACTGTAGAAGCCATTCTTGCCAAGCATCCAGAATCTATCAACAGCGTTAAAGCATATATTTTACCCACTTTATTCCAATTGATTCAATCACCACTGCTTCAAGGCTCATCACTTAATAGCTTATTGAACCTTCTCGCTGCGTTGGCTAAGGCCAGCCCTTCAGATTATCAATACTTTGTCAAGGGCCTTGTCGATCCTCTTTTGGCTGCGAAGAAGTCTAATGTACAAGCTGGTAGTGCCTCTGCTGTAACAAACAAGCAAGCTGCCTCAACAGTCGCTCAATGTGTTGCTGTACTGGCCGCAAATACAAGCGAAAGTAACCGTAATGAAACGATTACGAACTTCCAATCGTATATTCTTGTATGTATGAAATGATAAGGAACGATAGAAGAAAGACTCATTATTTTATATAGGATCCTTCAGCAAATGAGTCTGTCAAGTATCTCAGCTTGTTAACCTTGGGTGAACTTGGGCGCAGAATGTAAGTAGACAAGTTACAATCTTTTTACTTTGTGATATTCATTGTAAATGCTTAGAAATTTGAGTGAATTTAATAATATCGACCAACAAGTGATTGATCTGTTTGGTGCTCAATCAGAAGAAGTCAAATTTGCTGCTGCATTTGCCTTGGGAAACATCTGCGTTGGTAATATTCCCAAGTATTTGCCAATGATTATTGGCCAAATCAAGGACCAGCCAAAGAAACGCTACTTGTTGCTTCATGCATTAAAGGAGGTGAGTATTAAATTCTCAATCGATCTTCCGATTGTCTAAAAGAGATCGTTTTAGATTATTGCACGATACAGTGAGACTAGTATCTCCTTGAAAGACGACGCTGATCAAATCTGGGCTCTTTTGCTTGAAAATAGTCAAGCCGAGCAAGAGGAAGGCACACGTACTGTCGTTGCCGAATGTCTTGGTAAGCTCGCTTTATCTGAGCCCTCTAAGTTTTTGCCCCAGTTAGAAGTAAGTCATAACATGTCAAATGAACCAAACTAATAGAGACATAAAGGAAAACATGTCTTCGTCCTCTGTTCAACTTAGAGCAGCTGTCACTACTGCTGTCAAGTATGCTGTTGTTGATCCTTCCGTAGAATACATCCAGTATTTGAAACCCATCATTTCAATGTTTTTGCAGTTATTGGAGGATACAGATCTTGTAAGAACCTTGTATGATTGAAATCTTTAGCTCATTTTTTTTATCTGTAGAACGTTCGTCGCTTAACGCTACTTACTATAAACTCTGCTGCTCTTCGCAAGCCTTACTTGATCAGGGATGTGCTTCCTAACCTTATTCCACTATTGTTTCAAGAAACTGTTGTGAGAGAGGAGCTTATTCATACGGTAGAGATGGGTCCATTCAAGCACAAGGTGGATGATGGCTTAGAAATCAGAAAGGTCGGGCAAAGATAAAAAGTTACAACCGTGTAGTTCTAATACTTTTTTATTTATTTATTTAGGCTGCTTATGAGTGTCTTTATACGCTGCTAAGCAACAGTCTGGATAAAATTGATACTCACAGTTTCCTTGAGCGTGTTACTGCTGGTTTAACTGATCAACACGATGTCAGAATGTTGGCATACTTGATGCTTATTCGATTAAGCAAGGTTGCGCCAACTACTGTTATCCAAAGTAAGTCTTTATGATTATATAAAACAGGAGGTTTATAATACTTTGATTAGAATTGGACGACCTTGTTGACCCACTGAAGGTAACTCTTGATTTCAAGATGAGAAGCAACGCTGTGAAACAAGAAGTTGAAAAGAACCAAGAGTTGATACGCGCAGACCTTCGCTGTATTTATGCTCTGTCTCCCCTCTGTGACGGAAGTAAGACACTCATATCAGCACTGTTAATATTCTGTTCTAACTTAACTCCCTTAGATGTTTCTCCTCGGTTCTATCAGTTTATTAATGAAGTAAAGACTGGGCCTCTTGCAACTGAATTCAGATCAATTGCAGATGAAGCTGAGAGTCGAGAATACCGAGTAAGCGATTATATGGACCTTTCATAAATTGAATAAAAAAGATTTGGGAGAATTGATCATGTATATTTCAGATGAAAGCAAAAAGATAAAAATGTTTTTATTATAAATGTAAAAGAATTTGATGAAAATGAATATGCTTCGAGATATGCAATGTAGATGAATATGAATGTTTTTACTTTTCTAGTTGATTGTAGGGCGGAGGCGGAGGCAGTAAGATTAAGGATTCTTGACTGACATTTCTACTGTTTGGATAAGACGATTCACAACTGGAAGTGCCACTATTATGAAGAATGACGTCCCACTCCTTTCCGGTAAAGGTCGTACTCTTCTTTTTGTACTCGACATAGCAGGGGCAAATGAAAAATCCTGCTCTCTTCTTGAGCAAGTCTTCTTCATTTTCATGTTCCGAGACAGGTGCATCCGTTAGAGCTTCTTGGTACGTGGGCAAAGTGACAAAGTCTTCCTTGAGACGGCAATCGAGGATGGTGATGGGTGTTTCAAGATGAATATGGGTTCTTTCAAGTTCGGGAGACTTGGTCGACGATGATGACGAACTGGCTGTAGAAGGCACAGAAAATTCTAAATCGATCTTTAAATGGTGAAGGAAATTCATTTCTTTAAAATAAGTGGTGTGATTCAGGGTCAAGCAGTTGGGGAGTGTGAATATGAATTTGTATTGGAATGGCGTTGAGCCCAGGGGTATGTGAGCATTTTTGCCGCTGAGTGCTCTTCGGATCTGCTGGGTTGGTATATCCAAGGATGGGGTCATGGTTTGTTGTAGTTGTTCAGAGTCAGTCATGTCTGTGACTGAGACGAGCTGGAGCTTGAAGTCATGTAGTTCGGCCTTCCTTGCGCCATACTCTGGGACTTGATAGACTCTTCTTTCGGTCAGGACAATATCTATTGATTCCAGTTGAACATGCTTCATTTGTGTCAATAAAACAATAGAGATTGGGAATTGAGTGCCAGAGGAGACAATAGATTTTTCAATATAGAATGTAGCATCGCAGGCCTCTGTTCGACGTTCTGCAACAATGGAGGTTGTTGGTAGAGCATGTGATGTAAGGGCATCATTAGAGGGTGCTAGTGTTCGTAATAGAAGAACATTTCTGCGGCATCTCAAGTTGGGTGTACCAAATCCAGGTCGCTCTACTGTTGCACAGATGTAGTAATAGACTTGAGCCATTTCGTCTTCAATTGTTTCGACTATACTATTGGGTATCAAGAATTCAAATGGCCATCGATTTAATCCAGCGGGAAGAGTCTGTTGATCCTCAGCCGGTCTGCTGTCAAGAATGATATTTTGTTCTAATATTGTCTTTTCATGATATACTTTATTTCCTCTAGGACCTAATCCCTCTGGCCAGAGTATATTTGATTTGCCAACGAGTTTAATTGTGACATGAGTTGCGGTCATTGGCTTTGACAATAACAATTCAACTTCTCCTCTCAAGACATGCGTTGTCGGTTCAGTAGGTGGACCCCTTAGCAAGACAACAGGTTCTGCTAGTACAATTGAGAGTTGTTTACTACCACTGAGAAATGGTACAGCTATTGGCATTGTATAAAAATAAGCAATTTTAAGAATAAAGAAAAGAAGAAAAAAATTTATTTCAGGGTTCAATATAAATTGACATGTTTTTAATTGTGAATCCGAAAATCGGAACAAGCCGTTACTATTTACTTTCCCAGTTTCTAAACCAGATTTAATAAAAAAAGAGAGAGAAAGAGAGAGTTAATTAAATAAAGTATTGTGAGCATGCCTATTTTGTGTGTATTGCATAAACTCAATCCTGATGTAAGCATACTTGTGCAAGGACTCGCTACACAAAATCAGGCCTAGACTCACTTCTTCATTGGATGATGTTTTATTGAAAATTTATTGGGTGATGTGATAACTGGTATCAAAATGGAGTGTAGAGATCCTTCTTGTCCCAAAAGATCTTTTTTTTATTATTCAAGTGCTCTAATGAATAATAACTGAAAGCATACGAAAAATATGTTCACTAATAATAGAAATAGACCGACGTTCCAAACTATCCCGAGATTTCCAAGAGACAAAGCAGTGGTAAGGCCGCTAGCTTTGCACGTGGAAAGCAATGATGTATTGATGATTGTCCAGCGTTTGGGATGTAGCAACTGTATTCATATACAAAATAGCTCTCTCTATTTCTATTTTATCAGAGATCTATCTGTTTTACAATATAGCAAAAGAGGAAGAGGGAGAGAGAGAAAGAGGCTATGAATCCTTTACAGGTGAGTTATTTTTGCGAAGCTACATCAGCTTGATGAGCAGTAAGGTAAATCTACAATGTCCTTATTCTATTAATAAAGCGACATTACTTGATGCTCTTTGTGTACTTTTATCCATCCTAAACCGCTCAAGTAGTTACTTTAGCTGTCTACGATCTCACCTTTTACAGGATTTTAACCTAAAACGAGACGATTGCAAAAATTTTTAGGGACGGTTACAAAAAATATCTGGGACGGTTGCAAAATTCTATTGGACGAATTTTTTTTTGGAGACGATTGTAAAAGCTATTCTCTTTACTCTACTTTCCATTAAATATAATTTCCTGAGCTACATTATTTGCCAAAACTGTAAGCAGTTTTTTCATTGAAAATGTTCGTGTATTTCCAAACAACGCTTAGAACATCATTCACGCTTAAACTTTTGCAAGTATAAGCTTCTTCATTGCCTGGGTTTACTGGTAAAAATGCAGCATTCAGAAAGTTTAGGAGTTGAATTTGACTGACTAATAAAAAGTTTATCTATAAATAATCAATTTCAATTTGATTGTTTTCTTCAAGAGCTTCAGTTGTCTTTTGATAAATATGATGGTTATACGAATCTGCTTTTATGGAATTTGTATATAGCAGAAATGTTTTACAAGGATCTCTTTATAGCAGATTTCGAGATCTAGTTTTTCAATAGCATTGAGTAGTTCAATGGCTTTAGTCTTGTCATAATCTTTATGGTAATGTTGTTCTTTTATGGAGTTGTAAGGGCTGTTGTTAATATAGAGAGTTTTCTTGAAATTTTATAGGTTTAGGTGCTTGAAGTGACCACCAGATCTTTTAAAGTTGATCAAACTGTGAAGCATAAGTAAAATAAAAAATAAAAGAAGGAATCAGGAACTTTTATAACAAAGGTTGCCTGTTTATTAGGTTAAAATCCTGTAACTTTCTATTGCGGAGATTTGTACGACTTCAGGATGAAAAATGTGCAGGATTTCCAAAAAACTTTTACCCTTTCTATCATTGGTGTAGAACTAATGCTTAATCACAGAGCAGCTTTCGTTTATATTTACAGAGAAAGCAAGAGATTTCTTTTAAAAAATCATGAATTATTGCAATTTTTTATTGGGTTTACGAAATTACTCGGCGACACGTTTAATTTACCCCTGGGATAAATTTTACCTTCGTCTAATCGTGCGTCTGCATTCAACCGCGTTTCTTCCTAGCTGCTCCTTCGCCCACTGTACAGCATCCGATTGTATATAGTTGCAATCATTCATTATTAGTTTTTCCAATGAGCCTTTTTGACTGTCTATTAGCTTTTTAATTCCAGCTCCCGTAATGACCATACTTTGCGAAATATCTAATCTTTTAAGCTTGTTGACATGGTGAAAACTAGCCAAGACTGTATCAGTCAATCCTTGACAGTGAGTAAGCTTCAAATCCTCCAAATTTGAACAGGCATTTATGATGGACATAAGATCATCTTCATCAATATCAAAAGCAGAAGTCAAATGTAGCGTGCGTAGCTGACCAAGACCATCAGGTAATGAAGCTACACGAGAAAGTACAGGACCGACACCAGTGACATTGGTAAAAATCATAGTCTCGACAGCTTTGGATGAGATGAATGGCACACTATACCTTGCGGGTGTAAGAGCTAGTGAGCTCATACTAAAATGTCGCACCTGTACACCACTTGCATTCTCAGACAGAGGTGTTCGGGTAGTATGGTGACGAAAGCCCATCGAAAGCGATTCCAGTTGTGGACAGTGAGTGGCTAAAAGATGATGTAACTCGTTAAAATCGACGGTAACATCTGCAAATTCAAATAAGCGTAGTTTTGGAAAATAACAGAATAGCTTCTCCCCCATTGCCACAAGCATGCTAACGTTTGTCTGCAATTCCACTGCAAAGTCTTCTACTTGTGTTGGATAAGGCTCTAGCTTCATAAATTCTGTTGCAAGATATAGCTTATTGTCCATTATGGGGACTATTCCTTTGATAGAAACACGCTTTAGTTTGGTACATGTCTTTAGTACATCATTAAATATATCATAAAAACTAATGCCTAAGCTTCTATCCAAGTTCAAATAGACAAGATTCTTTCCCATGAGCCGAAGCGCACGTAAAAATAATGTGTGAGGCAGAACACAGTGCTTAAATTCTAGTATAAAAGTCAATGGCCGCCACTATTCTCTCTTTTTTTTTTTTACCTAATGTCTCTATGTATTGACAGTCTTCAGATATGATCAAGTTCAGCACCTTTTCCATCATGTTTTGTTCCATATCCGATAACGCCAACCGTCTTATATGTCGTCCCTTTGCATAAGACATGTATCTCTTAATCGTATGCTGGTTGACTCCTCGGTTTCCAAAGTCAAGATCTCGCCACATGCCATTCCAGTCTAGAGCAAACTGTCGCCAACGCTTAGATACTGCCATACATTGTACACGTCTGTCGAACGAAAGATATGAAAATATCATAGCCTTGACATCATATGGAAGAATAGTCATAAAGTCAAGACCCTTGAGCGGTGACAGAGCCCTTTCTGCACTTGTCTTCATGGTCATGATCACGCTATATCGTTTATCGTCCGGCTTGACTCTTTCTAAAGCAGTGGCGTATGTTTTGATGGCAGCTTTATATTTCTTTTGCAAAGAAAGTAACTTGCCTGCACGCAAGTAACCTCGAGCATCACTAGGTGCAGCATGGATCGTCTTTTTGGCATCAGCTAATGCTGAAGGATAATCTCCCAGCTTTTCATAACATGCAGATCGACAGTCAAGAATAGTTGCATGATCTGGTTCAAGTGTCAGTGCACGAGTAAAAAGAGCTGCAGCTTCATCAAATTTCGATTGTTTGAATGCGTCTTGTGCATCCATAAACACTTTGCGCCACAATTCAGTAGATGAAGAATAGGGATTGTATGTCGTGCTTGTCTTTCGTTTCTTTTCTGATGAGTCTCCTTGGGTGGCTGATTGTTTTCTTTTGAACATTGTTGAGATTGAAGAATAAAGACAGGAACCTAAATTAATTATTTTAATACAAGTATATATTAGGTAATATCACTGGTATATACTCTTATAGCATATAATAAATACAGCCTCTTGTAATGATCTTGTGTTTGTCTATGAGCTGAACCATCACTCCTCTTGAGAGTCTGAGAATTACTGATATAATGATATGATGTAAAACTTAGCATCTTCTTCTCTGTCGAATGTCTGGCCACAATCGACAATGATGCCCCTCCGGAAATGAGCATATCCACCTCGAATTGTATTATTACCACTCGATGCATAAAGAAACGGAAGCCAAGCGTCATATCAACTGAACAAAAGAAGTCAAGACGATCGCGACGTGATCTACAGTATGGTGAAAGTTGTTCTCGGTAGACGATCTACAGATAACTGGTAGATTGGTTTTCGGGAAATGTATGTTTTATTTAAAAAGGCGGGACTGGTAACTTGAAGAATACTCGATGTAATCGACATAATCAATTGCTCATATTTGGTCTTAAATATATGTCTTTATAACCAGGCAGATATCAGTAGGAAAGCCCTTCATTTACTATATGTTGACCGTGTTTTTTTAAGGAGTTTCCCCCAAAAAAACCCTCCCCCCAATTGACAGCCGCGGAACTTGTAAAAGGAAAGAAAGCAAGATGTAAAACAAGGCAAAAAAAAAAAAAAAAAGGAAATAAAAGAGAAAGAAAAAGCAACGTGCTTTTTTTCAATTAATTTTTAGAAGTCTTTTACACTTTAGTCAGGAATAATTAACGCCCTGATAAAAAAAAAAAAAAAAAAATTTAGTCATCCGTAAAGCTGAACAAAGTTCATCAAGCATAAACGTGAATGAAATTCCAAATGTGGGATAGAAGCTACTTATCCGCGGTTAATAGGGGCGTAGCTGAAGGAATCAAAGATATACTTCATCTAAGCCATTGTGTGCAATAAGTTATAGGTTATTAAACAGTGTCACAGTAACCATGGCATCCGTAAATCTTTAAAAAAGTTGGGTGACAACCGGAAATACGTTATGGAAAGTTGGATTATAACAATAGCAGAAAGGTGTCGCACGAGTTTATTTTTGTATAATTACCAATAGAGAACAAGGCTGATCTTTTTAAGTCGTTACCTACAAAAGCAAATACCATGCGTTTTATTCAAGAGCATTTTTGGTTTACAGACACACTTTGACTTGACGCTTGGTGAGCGGAACCTTAATTCAATTTGTTTCATCCACTGCTATTCTTTGTTTCTCTTTATTCAGGGATCGTATGATTCTAAGTATAGGACTTGCATAAATAACATAGTAATGTCCTTTATGATTGACAGAGTTTCAGACAAAGTTTCTTTATATATTAAAGTTTGTATCTATTTTAAGAAACAACTGAGATGGAACAATAACCGGAAACGCAGAAGTAAGGTAACACTAAACATAAAGAAGATCCAAAAATAAAATGGTGAATATCATTTTTATTGTTAAAGAGCTAAAAAAAAAAAAAAAAAAAGAATTAAAAAGAGACCTCTCCTTCTTTCCCCTTTTTTGTTTAAGCATGAAAATAAGATTGGGCCCTTTTTTTCAACAACCGCATGCGCTGACCCTTTAAAGCACCATTAAATTTTTTCTTTTTCTTTTTTTCTTCTTTTCTTTAACCCTCTTGCCTGATTGTTGTTTGATGAAATAATGTCAAGTTCAAATCACTCAGGCAGTATACCAGAATTTGTAAAGAAGCTATTCAAGTAAATAATCCTCCTTTTTATATATAAATAAAAAAGTTTTAACAACTTTATATTACAACTTAGCATGTTGGAAGAAAATGCGTACCCTCAAATATTTTCGTGGGGAAAAGAAGGAGATACCTTTGTAGTTAAGGATCCCAACGAATTCGCAAGACATATTCTACCAAGACACTTTAAACATTCTAATTTTGCAAGTTTTGTTCGTCAATTGAACAAGTACGACTTTCATAAATTACGTTTACCTGAAGATGGACAACGCATTTATGGAGATCAGGTAATGATTGAAAAACATAAAAAAAGGGCAAAGATAACTCACACACAGTTCATATCAGGCCTGGGAATTTAAGCATCCTAGTTTCAAATATAACAGGCGAGACTTGCTAGAAGAAATAAAGGTAAACAAGTGTATATACACTGCTCATGTCTAACTAGGTTTAATAAATAGAGAAAACCTACAGGCAAAACACTTCAGAACATCTCTTCTGCTACCAACACAACGGCAACAGCATCCAGTAGCTCTACTCTAGCAACAACAGGACCGTCGGGAAGTAAGCCACCAAAGGCAGAAGAGAATTTAATGTCGCTTGCGGCTAGTCTTCAAAAGGAAATAAACAATCTGAAAGAAACGCAAAAAGATATGACGGATAAACTGAAGGGCTTTGACAAAAAGTACAGTGCAATCTTACAAAGTATTGAAGGGTTTAAGAAGAATATGGAAGAACAGGATTCTTTAATGCGTAATATCATGGATTATGTTTCAAAGCAAAGTAAGTAACAAGGAACTTAAAGAAAGAGAATCTAACCTCTTTTGTGATAGAGCCAACCATGATGGAACAAGGTTTATCGAACATTATTTACCAGTACAATGATATAACAAATGCAAGCGAAGCGCAGCTTAATAGAATTAACATGGCGATCGCTTCATCCACAAATACAACAGCATTAAATAATAATAACAATGAATCTATCATGCAAAACATACTTCAGGTACATTCCACATCGACAACTTCATCCTCATCCTCATCCCCATCTACAACCTGTCTACCATCTACTTTGTCGCATGCACCTCCGACTTCATCTCCTCCATTAACAGGCAATATTGCTCCAGGAGACATCCCTTTAATGAACCCTATCAGCTCATCAATGCTTGGACCAGGCTTGGCCGCACCAGAAACACCAGTGGTTCCTGATCCACTTTCGACGACAACCATGCCAACAGCAGCAGCAGATTTTATGCCAGTAGGATCGTCCCAGCCACAACCCATGAATTCACTTTCTGTAAAGAATTCCTTGACAGCGCCATCGCGCAAACGAAGGAGAATACAATCGGGATGGTCAGTACCACCAAGAGTCTTATTAGTTGATGATGATTCCATATTCCGTAGATTATCCACTAAACTACTTCAAATGGCAGGCTGTACAATTGATGTAGCTGTAGATGGAGAAGAGGCTGTAAGGAAATTAAGCACAGGAAAATATGATCTTGTTCTTATGGTTAGTTCAAATGTTTGTTTATGTAACAATTGTCTCATGGTTCGAATTAGGATATCATGATGCCCAAACTAGATGGAATGTCTGCTACCAGAAACATTCGACAATATGATCCATTAACACCTATTATCTCCATGACGTCTAACACGACCGATCAAGATATTCAACAATACATCATGAGCGGTATGACAGATGTTTTGCCGAAACCCTTGAACCAAGGTACCTTGGGAAATTTATTGGAAAGATATTGTGCACACTTGGTAATACAAAGACATCAACAACAGCAAATTCATTTGCTGCAACAAAACTATAGCTTGAATGGCAGCTTAATTGAGCTAAATATGACTCCTCAGTTGACACTGCTTGAAGAAGATGAAGACGATGTGAAAGGGAAGGGTAAAGAATCTGTGGATGTAAATAGAAACAATATTGAGTACTTGACACCCTTCACAAGCAATAACAATAACAACAATAGCTGTAGTAGCAGTAATAATAGCAACAGCACAAACAGTAATCAACTCATGTATACACCACAGCCTATACCTATTATACCCTCGTCACAGTCATTGCCATACATGTCAACCCAACCCATATCAAATCAAACTTGGTTTTTATATCAAAAACATGGCAGCAGTTAATATATTTGTAATTTCTATCCTTTTTTTTTCTTTGCTTACCCTTTACACTTCTTCTTTTTTATAATAAAAGTCAACACTGTAAATAGTTTTATCGATTTTAATCACGGACCCGCCGCCTTATTGTTTTTTTTAAAAAAAAGGTGACGTTTAAAATCGCGTCACTACGCGAAATTCAAAAAAGTATTTTTTGGGTAAATTTTTTTTTTTTGTTCCTTTTTTTCACTATTCAACAGGGAGAAATACAATATGGCTTCATTAGTACCTGTCAAAATCAGTGTCGATTATAGCCAAGACAAAGGTTTACTATCACTTTTATATGCAAAGCAAGGAAACTAAACAAAAGCTATCCAATTAGCACATCTTGAGGAATTCCTTAGAAATTTCAAGGAATCATCAAGTGATCTCATGGAGACGGATGCTCCTCCTAAATATATGCAAATGCTGGTATAGACATAAAAAAAAACATTCAAATAAAGAAAAAGATACTTATATAAAAAATAGCAAAAAGTCAAAGACAGACAAGAAAAGACTATCCTTATCGAATTAGACGATATTGCTGCTGTAAAAAAAAAAATCAACACTTATCAAAAGACTGTCAATAACAATTTTTTAATAGTATGAAGACTCTCGTGCACGTACAGTTGCCAATATCAAGCGAAATACAAAGCACTATATTGAACATGCCTCTGTTGTCATCGATAACATCTTGGCCGGAATGACTCCTAGCAACCCTGACGCAGTTCATCCTGAAACAGTATTGGACGTGATTATCAATCAGAGAAGAACTCAAGATCGTTCCGAGATCCAACAAGATCAATTTCCTCCATCCTTGACTCGACGATAGTAAGCATCAACGCACAAATGGAAATTTATACTGATTGATAATTATTAGTGAGGTTTTCTTTAAGCCACTTTCTGATGATACTCCATTAGCTGTTCGTCAAGTCAATGGTAGTAAAATTGGACAATTGATCACCATTCGTGGTATTATCACACGAGTGACTGACGTGAAGCCAATGCTTCAGGTGAACACGTATACTTGTGATTCTTGTGGTTGTGAAATCTTTCAAGAAATTACTCAGAGACAGTTTAACCCATTGACTGAATGTCCCTCAGAGGAATGTAAAAAGAACAATGTGAAAGGAAGATTGCACACTCAGACAAGAGCCTGTAAGTTCATTGCTTATCAAGAGGCCAGATTACAGGAATTGACAGATCAAATCCCTGTGGGTCATATTCCTCGTATCATCACCCTTCAATTGTATGGCAGTGCCTGTCGTCAACTGTTCCCTGGTGATATTGCTCATGTCAGTGGCATCTACTTGCCTATGCCTTACACTGGTTTCAGAGCCATTCGTGCCGGTCTCTTGACAGACACCTATATGGATGTTCAACACGTTCACCGTTTGAAGAAGCAGTACGATGAGATCGAAATGACATCTGAAGATATTGAAAAGGTGGAGGAATTAAAGAGAGATCCTAACGCTTATGGACGCCTTGCACGAAGCATTGCTCCTGAAATTTATGGCCATGATGATGTGAAGAAGGCCTTATTGCTGCTTCTGGTAGGCGGTGTTGATAAGACGGTAGGCGACGGCATGAAGATTCGTGGTGATATCAATATCTGTCTTATGGGTGATCCTGGTGTGGCCAAATCCCAGTTATTAAAGTTTATTGCCAAGGTAGCGCCCAGAGGTGTATACACGACCGGTAAAGGTTCATCCGGTGTAGGTTTAACAGCTGCTGTGATGAGAGACCCTGTGACAGACGAGATGGTGTTGGAAGGAGGTGCTCTTGTCTTGGCTGATAATGGTGTTTGCTGTATTGATGAATTTGACAAAATGGACGAATCGGACAGAACTGCTATTCACGAAGTCATGGAACAGCAAACGATCAGTATTTCAAAGGCTGGTATCAACACAACCTTGAATGCTCGTGCATCTATCTTGGCTGCTGCTAATCCACTCTATGGTCGTTACAATACACGTTTGTCGCCCACCAAAAACATCAATTTACCAGCTGCCTTGCTTTCTCGTTTTGACCTTCTTTATTTAATACTTGACAAACCCTCTTATGATATGGATCGTCTACTGGCTGAACACGTCACCTATGTACACACCCATAACAAACCACCTCAGATGGACATTGACGCAGTGGAACCCAGCACGATTAGACACTATGTAGCACATGCAAGGACAAAGAGACCTGTGTTGACACCCGAAGTAGGTAATTACGTGACAAGTGCCTATGTGGCGCTGAGACGCCAATACAAATTGGACGAAGCACATGAACGACAATTTACTTATGCCTCCGCACGTACCTTACTTGGCATCATTCGTATGGCACAAGCTGTTGCTCGTATACGTCTAAGTGATTTCGTGGAACCTAATGATGTTGATGAAGCTTTAAGATTAATTGATGTGTCAAAGTCTACATTGGTTGAAGAAGACGATAAACGTTATGGAGGATATGACAGATCGCCCTTATCAGCTGTTTATAATCTTGTTAGAAACTTGATAGATGCCTATGGTTTCTCTATACCTTTAAATACTCTTAAACAGCATGTTGTAGCCAGAGGTTATACGGAAGCTCATTTAGAAGATGCCATACGTGAATATACAGCACTTAATGTATGGCAAGTCGATAGCCGCCATTTGACCATCATTAACTAGAAGCAATTAATAATAATAAAAAACACACACACTCTACAATGGCATAATTAAGTTTGATCTTTGATGTAATCTTTATAAATTAATGACATTGACACACTGTACTACAATAGATAATATAAAGTATATAATAAAGATGAGGCAATAGATGCTTACCTATTTCTTTATTAGCAAAAGGCTTCTTGGTCCAGCCTCTTTTTTATGTTAATTACCACATTTCATTTTATTTGGTCTGAATTTCAAGTAAAAGATCCATGGCTCGGTCTGGAACCATACAAAATCGGTATAATGAACGGATCGTGTACTCTGGTTGAGAAGTTTTAGAACTAAAAGGCTTCATAATGAAAAGGGGAGAAAGCCAAGAGAGAGACAATAAATTGTAGTCAGGCTTTTTTTTTCTTTCTCTTTCTCTTTCTCTTTTCATTCCTTTTTATAGCAAATGTATAAACACCAAAACAGCACCTATTCAAAGTGGTCAAGAGTGCTTCAATTACTCCTACCAAGTAATAAATCATCTAGACAAAACACACAAAGAAAACAAGATGATATGAAATCATTACATAGAAGAGGAATCTATATACCAAATGATGTCACAAACGGTGAACCTCAAAATACATGGCAACTATACTATCTTTATCGTGCTACTTTTGAAAAACTTCATCGTCCAAGTGTATCTCTGTCAAAATCAATTCATTTGAAGCAAATGCTTTATAAGTTACAAGAGAGACAGAGTGAATTATCAGCAAAATTAACTGTAGAAGAAGACGATAATGTGCCCCTGGGAGCCTTGATTGAAAGACCATCCAGTTATGCCTGTTCGATTCAGCCATTGAAGCCGTGCTATTATAGCAATACAAAGCAAAACTTTCCTATCCAACTGATGTAATCTCCTTATTCTTTATCAACATGTACATAATCAATATATATATTTATGCAATTTTTAAATGCAATCCCCCCTTCTCCTTTATTTTATAAAGTAAAAAGATCAAATTTAATTGTTTTTAGATACATCTAACAAGCGATTAACTATTGAGATACAAAAGATAAAGAATAATATAAAAAATCCATTATCCTTATATGAATAATACACACTATATCCTTGATTGGATATCTAAACAAGTGCTTTGATTAGTATCTTGGTTTATACACACAATTTTATTTTACACTTACATATTCCTGCTGTCGCGCCTCCTGGTTAAAATCTTTATTAAAATAAACCGTGTCTTTATGTAACTATATTTTTTTAAGCAGTTTAATATGGCTATGACAATAGAGAATAAGAGAAGAATTTACCTTTTGCTGACACGATGGAATGAGGGTCATTACAATGAAAAATATAATAAAGAAAGGAGGGGGTTTGTGAAACGGAGTATCAAGCTGCTGGCGAAAAAAAAAAATATGCTTAAACATGCAGCCAAGTCACCAAGGCAGCAGAATTTACCATAGTGATCATCTTGAATCAAATAACCTTTTTCACACAACTTTGTTTAAATACAACTGCAGTATTTCAACTAGTAATCATTTCTTATTGAATTTATAAAAATCAGGTAAGTGAGATCCCTATCAAAGCGATTTCCATATAAAGAAATCTCATCCATATTCAGCAACCCATTCAATATCCAACGAACAGGTAAGTGAATGATGATAACTTCCTTATTCATTTCCTATCAATGCCTAATAATAGCAAGCTAATAAACAGTCATCAAAATAAACAATAATAATACGAGTTATTGATACAAGGCAAAAAGAGGAGAGAAAACACACCGCTCTTTCTTGTGACCAGAGTGAGTTATAAATTAAGCTTTATCTTTTTTTTTTTTTTTCTGTTTTTCTTTACAAAACGGAATGTCAAAACTATTTGGCAATTCTTCCTCCAATGGGTATAAGCCCTTGCTCAGCCCAGGCGAAAGACCACATCGCAAACAAAAGACACGTCTACTGCTGACTGCCTCCGCTCTTGCATTATTCGGAACAAGCTGCGTTTATCTCTCGAGACACTTGCCTACTGGCGTTATGCTCAACAGTTATGCTGAGATAAATCAACAGAGCTTATGGAACAACGACAATGGCAAAGTAGTATCTCCTGGTATCTCTTTCGACTCCTTTGAGTATGGATTATCCAAGTGTCAGTTCAATATAGAAAGAAATCGTGTAAGTACAAATACGACTCGTCCTCGACATAGGAATCCGCGTGCAGCACCAGAAGCCGAACGCGTCCTGATTCGAAATGGCCATATCTGGCTAAAGGATCATTACTTGGAAGGAGGCGATATCTATTTGGAAAACGGGTTGATTGCAGCTGTTGGGAAAAATTTACAAGTGCCTTCAGATACTCGCATCGTGAACGCCGGTGGTCGTGTTGTTACACCAGGTATCATTGATATGCATTCCCATATGACCGTTGATGCCTTGGATGGATTATCCGCGTCCGATGATACAAATGAAATGACTGACCCTACCACACCTTATGTAAGTAGCATACTGTGAACAGCGAAGCTCACCACTAAAACATCACACTGGAAACTAGGTTCGTGTTATTGATGCACTTAATCCAACTGACCCTGGTATCAAGATTGTGGCCAGCGGAGGCATCACGACTTCATTGATTCTCCCTGGCTCTGGAAACTTGATGGGAGGCGAGGCAGCCGTCATCAAGCTTAGACCTGTCTCTACCCTCTCTGCACAAGATATGCTCGTAACCTCCGGCGTCTCGGATGAGGATCAGGAGGTCATCTGGCGTTACATGAAAATGGCTTGTGGTGAAAACCCAAAGTCGTTCTATGGTAGCTCTAACCGAATGCCATCAACTCGTAAGGATGAAAAGAAAAAGTATATACGAGGCCATCTCAATTTAATTTTTTAGGTTTGGGCGAAAACTACTTGTTTCGTAGAAGGTTTGAGGAAGCACAAAAATTGAAAAGAAAACAAGATGACTGGTGTGATGCTGCGGAGAGAATCAAGAAGATGAAGGACGATGACGATAAACAGGATCTGATTCGTCTCTCTGAAGGTTATCCAGAAGATTTGAGTCTGGATAGCCTTGTTGCTCTTTTGCGTCATCAGATCAACCTGAATGTCCACTGTTATTTGCCTCAAGATTTTGAAGCCATGGTTCACCATTCGCTTGAATTCGACTTTGAAATTGCCGCTTTCCATCACGCATTAAGTGCTTGGCAAGTACCTGATATTATAAAACGTGCCAAGACAAACATCACAGTGGCTACTTTTGGTGATATGTGGGGATATAAGGTATATATATACATCTTAATCTTGCGTGAACTCTGTTCTCCAACCATTATTCATTTAGGCTGAAGCTTTAAATCAAAATGTTCATGCACCAAAGATCTTGGACAAGGCAGGTATTCCTGTCGCCTTCAAGAGCGATCACCCTGTCATGAATTCTGTAAGTCCTGGTTACAAAAAAAAAAAAAGAATTTAATACCAATTCCAGTTCTAGCGTGATTTGGTACATGAAGCACAAAAAGCATACCACTACGGCTTCAATGAGCATAAAGCATTACAGGCACTTACCACTGTTCCTGCAAATTCCTTAAAGTTGGGACACCGTCTGGGCAGGTACGTGGATATGCTGTTTAGTTATATGAACACTAATACATCTTGATACTCTCTAGTATTGAAGTAGGCAAGGATGCGGATATTGTCATATGGGAACGTCATCCATTAAGGCTTGGAGCCAGACCAAGACATGTCTTTGTGGATGGTGCTGAGTTAGATTTCAAAAAATCATGGACGAACACTCTAATTGAAGAAGACATGCAAAAGCACTTTGATGTAAAGAATACAAGTGATGACGAGGATGAAGCAAGCAAGCACTTACTTCCTGGCTTTTCTGATAGCACAATGCGTTTGGAAGATCATGGCCTCAATAACCCTACTTCATTCCATGATGCTTGCTCAAAGGACGTGAATTCTTTTGTTTTACGCAATATTAGCCGAATTTATACAAACGCTAGTCAGATTCTGGACGCAGAAGGCTCTGGGCTGTACTTAATCGTTGATCGTGGAGTTATCACCTGTTTAGGTAAAAACTGTGATCGTGATCATATTGAATGGCCAAGCAACAGCCCTGTATTTGAAATGGGGGGTGCGGTAGTTATTCCGGTAAAGATAATATTAGGACGTAACGCAATGTATAATGGTCGTAATTAAGATGCATATTTATATACCAGGGTATTGTTTCTGTCGGTGTACCTCTTGGATTACTCGAAATTCAGATGGAGTCATCAACACAGGATGGAGAAGCAAAGAATGACATCAGAGATGGCGATTTGTACAAGAAGGTCGTGCGTGCTGTTGATGGCCTCAAGTTTAATGGATTGCATCTTCAAAAGGCGTACAAAGCTGGTAAGGAGCAAGATTTTTAAAAAGTCTTTAATGACTAATTGCTGCGATCATCAGGTGTTACAACTGCAATCTCTCAACCGCTGGTAGGGTCTGGCATGTTAGCAGGCGTATCAACAGCTTTCTATACTGGCGTAGAAAACACTGTGTTGGACCATCTTGAAGCTCTGGTAAAAGAAGAAGCCGCTTTAAGCTTTGTCATTCAACACACTGGTAAGTTCAACAGATCGTTCTTTAGTATATTAGCTAAGACGGAGATACAGGACCATTGACCGTATCTCAACAAATTGCTGCTATACGTGATCTGCTAATTTCAAATATAAAAAAGGATGCTTTCAAGAATGTATTTGCCCGTGCAGCTCAAGGAGAAATCCCTGTTGTAGTTCAAACAGACGATAAGGACGAAATAGCATCCATCTTACTGATCAAACAGCAAATTGCCAAGGACTATGAACGCGAGGTCAATTTTGTTATCCTAGGTGGTGCAGAGTCCCATCTGGTCGCAAGTCACTTGAGCCGGCTTGATGTTCCTGTTATCTTGATGCCTGCTCGATGCTACCCAACGACATGGCAATCTCGCTTTTGTCTATCTGGTCCACCATTGACGCCTGGTACTGTTCTTGATGTTTTATTGAAGCATAAAGTACGTGTTGCATTAGGTTCTACCGATGTAGATAACGGAGATGCTCGTAACTTGATCTGGGAAGCTGGTTGGAATCTTGCTCATAATCCGGAATATACACCTCAGGATGCAGTAGGTCTTATAACATGGAATGTTGCAACCATGTTTGGATTGAAGGAAGAAGGAGTTCTCAGTGTAGGAGGAAAGGCAAACTTTGTTGCTTATAATAATAATCCATTTGAATTTGGTACTCGTGTGCTTATGGTGAATGGTGGAGGCCGATCAGGCCCTACTTGTTTTCCTAAACAAACTTGAGTACTTTGAATAAACTTATGTAGTAAGCTAATAAAAGGCATGAATTTATGTTTATGAGCTCTAGATTATGATAATTGAGGTTTATAGACTGATGAATATAGCAATAATTGAACAAGCTAAAGATCAGTAGGGCAATGCTTTCAAAGGTAGCGTCATTTATTTCTGGAAACACTGTCCAAATTTTAAAATTACATACAATCAACAATATACACTACGTATTGATAGAACGGGCGATTTGTACTTCAGGAACCTTTTGGTTAAAGACCACATAGTTATTCTTTAAGAATGTATCTCCCAAAATAGCCAGTCCTCTGACGTTACCAAGAGTAAAGCTAGCCATACATTTGTCATCTTTCTTTTCAAAAATAAGGGAATCAGGAGGCACTTCAAAATCAGCACCACCAATGCTGAAAGTAAGCGGTTTGAAATTGGACGTATCACAGTTAATGGTATAAGTACCATCAAAGTTATCCGTAGCGTTGTACGCATGAGAGATTGGAGTAGAGACGTCAGAAGGAAGGACGAGCAGGGTGGTGCCGGTATCAATAATGGCTTTGAATGGATCACTTGTAATCTTGTCTCCAACTCTGGTGTTATTGACATCAATGCCCCAAAAGCCAATAGAATTATCCACTGGAACTGTAGTCAGCTTTCCTTTGAACTTAGTTGAGTCGTAACCTCCAAAGATGTATTCTAAAAGACAGCAAGTTAGTTTCTGTGTATAATAGACTGCCTTTTGCCTACCTCCGCCACCACCCTTGCTAGCCTTTCCGAGAAAAACACTAAATATAGGAGAAGAAATAAGGTTATGATTGATCAAGTTGTCAACAGGAGTCTTGACGCCTTCTACGCTGCTGAGAGAGCTAAATCCAAGACCCAACAGACCATCAACAGTTCCACTAGCAAACTTTAAAGATTCACGTTGTGCAATACCAATGGTTTGTTGCTTGATAGCAAGCCCACCTAGATTTACAGTGTCTTTACCCAAAATACCATTGGAGCTGGATCCATCACCATATCTGATAGACCATTTGCGACCATCCTTCTTATATGTTTTCGACTTGGACGGATCATAGCGTCTTTGAGAGGAGCCACAGTTGGTACATAAAGTAGAGGCTAAAGTGTTTTATAAGGCAGATTAAGTAGGTACTTGATCCTTTCATCATTTTAATATGCGATACTTACCAAACCACAAGTCAGAAGAGCCAGTATCAAAATCAAGTCTGAGATCAACACCAGGGGTTCCTACCTTTACAATACCATAGTATCGTAAATCGTTTCCATCATCAACAACAGGAACAGTGCCGTTGATGCTCTGAGGTGAAATGCCATTGGATTCGGTAGTAAATCCGAATCTGGAATACTTTGCAATAACTTTTTCAAGGGCAGCTTTTGCATTAGGCTTGTAATCTTCATTCACTTCTAAAGGGATATTGATTTTTTTGCCTTCAGGCGCAGCTTCAGCAGTCAATGCCACCAAGGCAAGAGCAATACATGAAGTCAAGGTAAATTTCATAAGATACAAATGAGGTGAGTTGTATAGTAAAAGAAAGGACGCCCCTCACACCTTTTATATTGCATGTTCATACAGGTTTTTTACTTTGGATTTGCACAACAATGCTCACAATTTTTTTCCACTCAGTAATAGATTTACACAGATGTTATAATCATATTGTACACAAAAGCTTGCTAGAGACATGTAAATTCTTCGCCAACTTTATCCTGATTTGAAATTTAGTGCTTCCAGAAATAGCGGACGTGTGTCTAGTGGCATAATATATCACACTTCTCTCGAGCTTCTAAAAAGGTTTACTTACTGAAGGCGCATTGAATAAAATACGATGATAAGAAATAAACCGTTTGGTGATGTGAATAACAGAATACATGCTTTCATATCAAATTATAGTTTATTAGTTTTTTAATTACGGTTTAACACGATTGCCTAATATTGATAAAGTATCTATCAATAAATTCGCTAAATAAAGATTATGTGAATGTTCTGCAATTTAACTTTATGAAACCGTAGTACATCAATTACTTTGAAAATACATTTTTTAAATAGAGACGAAGCTCAAGTTTATTAGTGTGACGAAGATCCAATCACTTTTGTGTTTTTGGTTTTAAATTTTCGTTAAACGTCCAGTGA